GGCTTTTGTTTTTTGGGCTTTTTTTACATGAATACTTTACTGAAAACGAGCCATTTGCCTTTGAGAACTTCCCCGGTTTTCTGCCTGGTGAAATAACTGCAGAAGGGTTATTACACTCAAAATGACACGGAACGATAATTTGGAGACAAACAAGGCTTTGTCTCAGCGATGCATAAAGTAATTACTGGGCAAAAGTGCATCATTCTCGTTTTAAAAACCGTGGCCTGAGAGCGGTAAACAGCTGAAAAATGGGTCGTTCGCTGTACATAAAGCGCAAGTGCCAAATTTCGAATTAACTATATTTGGATTTTATTGTTTTGTTGAAACTCCAGAGCAGAAATATTTGCTCACAAGAACACGAGCACACATCCGGTGCGGAAAGCGCGGCGTGTCTGACGTGGAGCGTTTCCCCACCGCGACCCGCGACGCGTCGCACATCTCAAACAGCAGCGGCTGTGCCTTGAATCACAGAGGGCTGCTAATGAGGTTTCCATTATGCGCGATGTGCTGAATCTGAAGTTCGCTAATTTTCTGACCTGCTGAAATAGATTTTAATAAGCTTGATGTACCACAGCATATAAAGACAAAGGGAAGCGCTTAATGGGGCTGTCAGGATAACTCTGGGCAGGCCTGGGGATGCTTAAAGTGTTGGTGAAGTTGATGGGAAGCTTGGGCAGCAGACTGTGTGCCCATGAGCGCTGCCCGGCGCCGTGCTGCTCTGTGGGAGAGCTTCGTGGGGTCTGCAGTCAAATCCAGGAGAGATTATTGCTCCTAAAGCACAACAGCGGGTTCTGAGCGGTCCAGTGCTGTCCTGATCTTTCAGTGAGCCTAGATGGAGTTTGATTTCTCTGGGTGTGTTCCTCCAGCGGTGAGTGGTTGGCTGTTCATCTAAAGCTTGACACGGCGGCTGCGTTTGCTTTTTCATTTTTGTTCCTTGTAGAAAAGGAGGGGGGGGGGGGGGAGATGGAGGACTGAAAGATGAAAGTTTTGAGCATAAAGGGATTGTTTTGGGATTGAGCTTTCCCTCATGTGTGCTCACCATTAAAGGCTGCGTTTGTGTCGGGTAAATTGGACCCATGCCTGCCTGCCTCCCAAAAAAGGCAGCGGGCTCTTCTGCTTCATGGTTGCGAGTCTGATACTTTTGAAATGAAGCCTAAAGATCCGACAAAGAGGATAACACTGCCTAATGGAAAGAATAATGCGGGCGAGAACCCATCTGAAATGACAGCTGTGAGCCTCGCGCTGCTCTCCTGCGCTGATCAAAGCCGCTGGTAACGCTGTGTGAAAGGAGGGCATCGGTTCCCCCTCTCCTGCTCCACCTGCAGACATTTCTGCATTGGCAACTTGGTGCTTTTTCCCCTGGGAGATCAGTGGAGCTCCCAGCATATGTTCCAGGGTCCATTGTGACAGGCCAAGGGGCCAAACTACATAGAGGGGAGATTCCGGTTGGATGTAAGGAAGTTTTTTACAGTAGGGGCAGCACAGGCTGCCCGTAGAGGTGGTGCTGCCCTGTCCCTGCAGACAGCCGAGGTCAGGGGAGGCAGCCCTGAGCACTGATGGAGCTGTGAGTGTCCGTGCATTGCCGGGCAGTGGGATCTGATGGCCTTCAGAGGTCCCTTCCAACTCCATCCGTTCTGTGATTCTGTAATAATTTTGGTGGTTTTTCTGAAATCTGGTGCTGAGGCCACATATGCTCATTGCTAGACTCTTGCCATGCGACCTCACATGCCCACGTGCTTTAGTCAGTAGGAAGCAGAGAAAATTGTTTGCATAGTATTTATTGATAGGAAAAGGGATATCTTGGTCCTCGTGACTTTTGGGGGGTGTGGTTGCTCTTGTCCCAGTGTTCCTACAGTGCAGCATCGTGTGTGCTTCAGGGCTGAGTGGGACGTGGCCCACAGCAATTGCTGGTTGCCCCATTGGCCGCATGCTGCCCTCTGAGCTCCTGTCCCACTGCCAGCCTGCTGCTCCCTGACTTGTTTCTGTGCTGGAGAAGGCACTGGCGTGGAGAGGGCCGCTGCCTCGAGCTGTGACCGTAGGGTAGGGCTTCTGGAAACAGACGTGTCCGTGCCCCATTGCATGGGGCTGCTTTGGCGTTTATAGGGAAACTGTTGGTGCGGGAAGCAGAAAAATGTATCTGTGAGAAATTGAACTCCAAACACTGGCTTTGGCTCATTCTGAACAATAAGAGAGCATGAAATTGCTGTGAATCCTCAGGGCTTTCCTGGTCAGTGTGTAAGCCCGTGGAAAACATTTATTGTAAAATACCTTCTAATTGCAGTGCCTGAAGTAGGCACTTTGGGCCTTTTGAACAGCTTTGCTATCTTGTTTTCTGTAATTATATGCAGAGGACTCACAGAGGAGGGCAGGGATCTTTTCTGCGAGTCTGGAGCCCCTCATGCAAACATGATTATGAGGAGATCTCTCCTTCCACCCCTTTCCATTTCCCATGGAGCTTCAGAGCTGCCAGGGAGCAGCATGTGGGGAGCTGTGTGGGTACCTGTGATGGGCCAAACTCAGGCACAGGGGAAGGGGCTGTGGCTGCTGGGAACGGGAGGGCATCCTCACCCCGAGGTGCTGGTGGGACCTGGAGGAGGTTCTCCAACAGGGAGGTCCCTTTGGGGGCACAGAAAGCAGCACAGTGGTTCCCTTTTTCAAATACCTTTCCCAAGTGACTTTGCTCCTTGTGCTGCGTTTTGTACCGTCTGTGAAACGGAGATGGTGTCACTGCCAAGAGACACAGGGACAAAGAGCTCCGTAAGAACAAGAAGTGGATTGGCTGTGTTCTTAGACAGCACGCAGCATTAATGTGCTCAGCAGCGTGATGAGTGGGAAATTTGTTTTTGACTGAAGGAGCTGATTAATGCAGCGCATGGCAAATGTAATTTCAGTGTGTGGGACTGATTACTTTCAGCATGTTGGATTGATTTAGGGATCCTCCAGTGATGGAACCCGTCTGTGTGTGTTGGTAAGCAGGCTTTTGCCAATACAGATAATCAGCCTCTGCTCCCATCTCCCACCTGTGCAGCCCCACGCAGCCGTCCCAGCCAGCGTGAGCAGCACCATTGCATGGAGCTGTGCAGTGCCTCTGGCGCAGAGGCTTTCATCTCATAGTCAAAAGAACAGCTTTCTTTCAGGGAGGAGGGATTAATTTTTCACACATCTGTCCGTACTGAGCTCCGGATCGCAATAATAGATGCTTTGTTCAGGCTCTTTTTGTGGAGAGCCTTCTCCACCCTTGTTATTTCATTCTCCTTTTGCATGGCAAAACTTTTTGTCCTGCATTTCAAATAGATACTGAGAGTCCCTGGCAGCTGAACAAGAGAAACAAACTTTGCAGCCCTGTCCTTTATGCTGCTTTCGGGAGATGCGTGGTGATGTGAAAGGTATTAGATTGGTTTTGGCAGAGGCATTTGATTCCCTGGGAAATCCACAGCTCCTCTGATCCCTTACGGATGGTTTAGGGCCTCCGGAGCCCCCAAGTGACGGGTTTGCTGGTGGGCAGCTGGTCCTGAGCACGGCATGGGGGTATGGTGGGCGCTGCTTGGGATGAGGTAGCAGGATGTGCTCTGTGGTAGGCAGGGGGGAGGCTGTGAGCACTGCTCTGTCCCATTTACTGCCAGCTCAGCGTTCAGCTTGAGCGTGGCTCTGCACAAAAACAGAGCCCCAGAGCAATGCACTCATCCTGCAGGTGTGTTCCCTCTCGGCTAATGCTGGTTTGATTCTCTAACATCAAGGTCTTCTTGCTCCAGGCTATTGCAACTCTGCTACCATGTGCTGGGGGGAGCCAAACAGGGTTCCCCAACAGGGATGAATTTAGCACTCTGGTGTTTGGTTATAACGTCCCCTGATGTGAAAGTGCTTCCCTCTGTATCCTGCTCCTCAGAGATCATAGCAGTTCATCAACGTAATGAACAAATCATGTAGGTGTTAAGTAGCAGGGTTTGCTGTGCTGTGCATGGGCTCTGTACGCAGGGAGCAGCTGCCTGGGTTACCCTGCATATACATTTACCTGGACTTTCTCTTTTCCCCCAACAGCCCTATTACCATATTTAAATGCAAGTATGTCTGTTTTTTAATCAATGTTTTAAGTAGCCTTAAGTGACTCTAGCCTAGCTGCTCTCTGCTCATGCCCTTGGTAGATTCCCCGTAGGTAGGATGGTAGTGGTAGCAGGCTTGTAGTTGGCAGGTTTCTCTGGCTCTCGCTCTCTCCATCTCTCAGCTTGCTGTTCTCTTCTCTCTTGGCTCAGTTGTTTTTCTGTGGTTCTTCAGCACCGCGAAGCAGTTGTGGTCTCGAGTCCCAGAGCTGCTGAGGGCAGTGCTGAGGCAGAGTTTGCACCAGCGGCTGTCCTGGCTGACAGCAGGAGCTCCCAGGGACCAGGAGTGCTCCAAGTGCTTTGTTGACGTGGCAGCACAGGGTAGTGGGGGTTCCTGTTGATTGCCTGGACCTTGCCATTGCCCTCTTAAAATATACATTGAAAGTCAAAGCCTCTGGAGATCTGTTAATATTAATTAAGTAAGGAAACCGAGTCTGAAATCTTGGTAGCAGCGTTTCGTTCATCTGCAGCCCCCTGTAGCAGGGTGTGTGTCTTCAAGCTCCTTGATCTGCGGCTGTTTTGCTATCAAAAGCTTTTTTCTTTCTTTCTTTTTTAAATTACATTCCGGTTGAGTTTTTTTTCTGCTTCATCCCAGCAAATCTGTGATCTTGACACGAGACCCTTCCCCCGTTTTCCATTACTGCTCTGTCTGTAGATCGGCACGTTATTATCACTTGCAAATAAGCAGCGACCGAAATGCAGCCGTCGCTGTGTGCAAGGGCCGGCCCTGCCTGCTGGAGGGGATGTTGGCTGTGGGGGCCCTGCGAGGTCAGCCCCGGCCCCTCGCCTCCCGCAGCGCCGTGCCCAGGAACCGTGTGCCAGCACTGCCCTGGCAGACGCCCCGCAGAGGCGCGCGGTGCCGCCGGCTTCTTTCTTTACCCTTCTCCTTTTCTCCACGGCCAGGTTTTCCGGCAGCGGCTTATGGACCAGTAGCAGCGGCGGCCGTGGCGGCAGCAAGAGGATCAGGTAGGGGGGCCCGTGGAAGAGCAAACCCTCAGAGTGCAGGGTCAGGTAAAAGCTCTGTCGGTATTCTGTGTGGCTGCAGCTCTCCATCATTTCTCTGATTTTCCTCACGCTTATCCTGGGGATCTGAAACCAATCGATCAAAAAGATAAAAAAAATAACTAAATCCCAACCCCAAACTACAAGCAGAGGCCACGGGCCTGGAGCACCTTGCAGGAGATTGGCGTCAGAACTGCCAAAACCAGGGTAGATATTCTGATTTGCTTCTTTATTTATCCCTTTATTACGTTGGTTTCTTTTGTTTAAATTCGAGATTATAAAGGACACCCAAAAGAAAAAAGAATTGCGGTGTTGCGAAAGAAAGTTTTCGTTTCTCATGGAAGGTGAGGGCCGGGCTGTGCAGGCTCTGCTCCCCGGCGCCGCGGGTCGGTCCCACGCGGGTGGCCGTGTGCCATTTCCTGCGGTGCGCCGGCCGCTTCTCATGGAAACGCCAAAGCTTTTCTTCCCGTCCTTCCGAACACTTCCGTTTTTTTCCCCTTAAGGGAAATAAATCAATCGTGGCCAATTACCGTTATTACTTTGGGCTTCAAATTCAGATAAAGGTGCAAATTAGCGCTTTGCTGAGGTCGTGGAGCGTTCAGTGCACTCATGAGTGAGCTGCCGGTTGGGCAGCCCAGCCACCAGCCTGTCCCATCCCGCAGGGCCATGGGTGCACGAGGCGCGGGGCCGGGCTGGGGGCAGCGCTGTGCTCGGCCTCCCCGGCACAGGGCCCGCTGCGGGGGTCGGCCGCTGGGTGTTGTGCCGGGCGGAGGCCGCGGCGTTGGAGGCTGCTCCCAGCTCACCCATGATGCAGTCCTGACGTGGGGGTTTCTCGGTGACTTTCCTGGAGGTGCCCTGGGTGAACCGGGCTCTTCCAGGAAAGAACCGACCAAACCGCTGCATACTGGGTCAGGAGGAGGGCACGGGCCCCAGTGTGTGAGCCTGATGCCGTGGAGGCCAAAGCAAGACACCAGGAGAACTCCGTTCCATGCAAACTGGCACTGCTTGCAGGCTACAAAGGATTATCTGTACCAGTTCCATTTTGTGGCATGTAGAGAGCGCCTAAGGGGTGACTTGCCAGACTGGTTGTGGGGGTCCCAATCTCCTCGCTCCTCCCACTGCCCCTTAACCAAGGGAAACAAAAGTTTTCAAAAGTAAAAAAAAAAAAAAAAAAAAAAAAAAAAAAAAAAAAAAAAAAAAA